TTTTTTTTTTTTTTTACTCCCACATTGGTGCCATATATCTTTATTTAGGTTACTTATAAGCTGTCCAATCCCCTTAGTAGGCCATAAGCATCTTACATTTGCATAGTTCTACCCAGTAATCTGGTGGGAGTCACAAAGACCATGGCTAGGGAAACTATACCAAATAATTCACTGCACCACAGATGGGCCTGTGTCCTCTTTCATTCTCATGGAAAGACAAGCTAAAGTATTTCCACAGCTCAAGTAAAATCAGGGAATGGCTTACATAAGGGTCAGTTTAGTAGCTAATACATTCATATCTAGAGTGTTTAAAGGACTTCTTATGCACAGTTGGTCTATCAGTTGGTCTATGTTGCTATGATGCTGGAAGTTATGCTACTTGTGATTTCAAATACTTGCAGGATCACCGATGGTGGACAGGTTTCAACAGAACTTTCAGATTTAAGAAAGACTAGGAAGAAAGGCCTGGCAATGTACTTCTGAAAATCAGCCAATGAAAACCTATGGATCAGAATAAAATTGATATAGTGCTGGAAGATGAACCCCCTAGGTTGGAAAGCACTAGGTGTAGTGCCTTCAGGCATTTAACTACTAACTAGAAGGTTGGTGGTTCAAACCCACCAGCTACTCTATGGAAGGAAGATGGGGCAATCTACTTCTGTAAAGATTTACTGCCTCAGAAGCCCAATGGGGTTGCTATGTGTCGGAATCAACTCAATGGCAGTGAGTTTGGTTTGGTTTGATACAGCTGCAAAAATGGATACACATACCAGTGACCATGAAGATGGTGCAGGACCAAGCAACATTTCACTTTACTGTACTTGCGGTCGCCGTGAGTCGGAACAGACACAACGATGACTAACAACAATATGGACAGTTGGTATTTTAAGGGCAAATATATAACATCTTCATGAAAAAACACTGCATACCAAGTTGACATGAGCCCATATAGAGTGATATTATTGGGTCTTACACCAAATATCAAAGGGAGAAAGACACCTGCCCCTAGGTTATAAATTGAAGTACACAGACGAGGGTAACTTATTAAAAGCACTTGTGCTTGGCTTGGGGGTTCTTGCTAACTGCTGGCTGTGGTAATAAGGTGATCAGGACTTAGTGAAGATTTGACCATTAGACAATGCAGAAATATGCCATACAGCCCCTGCAGTCTAACAGCAGAAGAGTCTGCTTGAAATTAGAATAGGGACTTTCAGAGCCCTTTAAAAATTGAATGCTGTGTCATTACTCTCAGGCACATGGAAGGCCAGGAACTAGATGGTTGGTGTGACTAGCCCCCAGGGCATGTGCTTCAGTGAATAGAAAGAATGTGTTCTAATACGCATGTCTGTTTTTGTGCAAGAAGACGCGTCTAGTGTTTCTAAGTAGTCCTCTTTATAATACGGCTTGTTTTCTTCTGACAGTCTTATTTATATTTGTTTCATAAATAGCATCCAAGTAAATTTCAGATCACTCTGTGCGGGGAGTGCTACAGAGGTCTGATGCTGCTTGGTGATGCTTGTCTTGCTGACCTGCGAACAGTAATGGGAGAATGGTCAGAAAGAGCTGTGCATCTGAGAACTGTCACGTTCAGGAATCATCACTGTCTGTTATTTCTGAAGGAGTTTCATACATAGACAGTGGATATTCTTTTGTTTCAAGAAGTAGTTTTGTAGTAGCAATATACTACCTTGCTTGGGTGAACTGGTACAGAGAGCTGTTTCTTGGTACTCCTGTCACACTCAAGAAGGGTCGGTGTGGATAGTGGGATGAGCAGTGGACTGGATTCAGGAAACCTCACAGAGAGTGACCTTTATGCCCGCTCCAGGATGTCCGGGCCCCATGGAGCCTCTTTTGATGGAGGACTTAGACTCTTGCAGTGGGGAGGGTTGGGGGCGTGTAGCCCCTCTTGGCAGATGACTAACCCTTGCTGTCTCTCTCCTGCCAGTGACTGCCTGGCTCTGCTGCAAGTCCGATCCATCCTGCAGCACTTGGGGCTTGAGAGCACCTGTGATGACAGCATCATCGTCAAGGAGGTGTGCACTGTGGTGGCACAGAGGGCAGCCCAGCTCTGTGGCGCAGGCATGGCTGCCGTGGTGGACAAAATACGAGAAAACCGTGGGCTGGACACACTCAAAGTGACCGTGGGCGTGGATGGGACCCTCTACAAGCTCCATCCTCAGTGAGTTCCTGACCCCAACCCTCCTACCTCTCATCTCTCTCTGTGTCCATTCTTTCTTTGCCTTTCCTTCTCTTCTTTATAGTGAATCCTTAGATGTTCCAAAGCATATATGTATATGGTGGTCCAGTGATTAAGCACTTGCTTGCTGCCAACGGAAAGATTGGTGATTTGAACCCACCAGCCACTCCATGGGAGAAAAGACCTGGCAGTCTGCTCCCATAGAGATTACAGTCTAAGAAAATCTATTGGGCAGTTCTATTCTGCCCTGTAGGGTCACTATGAATCAGAATTGACTCGATGGCAACGGGTTTGTTTTCTTTTTGTTTATACCAAAACTGTTTCCATTGAGTCAGTTATGCACATACACACACACACGCCTACACACAGACATATGTATATATATATGTGTGTGTGTATATATATATATATATATATATATATATATCAGGTAGCCCTGACTTATGACATATTTGAGTTATGACTAACCAAAATTATAACCAACTGTCTTTTTTTTTTGGTATATCTTATTGTTAGTAATATGTACTACATACAATGTTGTAGTGTGTAATTTGCTGATGTTGCCATTCTCAGATGTAATATTTCCACCGTCAAAGTCAAATAAAGATCAGATTTATGAAAAGGCAATAATAACCAAAACAAAACAAAAGAGCCACTGGAATCTCTCACTTTTCAAAAGTTCACTTTGTACCACTTTGCTTTTATGAAAGACCTGCATTAGTATTTGTTTTCACTAGCTAAAAGAAACTCAAAGAAGATTTTTACTTTTATGAAAAAAGGCAAAAAGCAACAACAGTGTTCAGCGTTTGTCTTGCAGCTAGCTATTACAGAGGCAGCACACAGCTCGAGCAGCAAGAGTAGCATCACCAGGCTCCTTCCTCAGGAATGACGCATCTGGCCACCAGAGCTTTGAACTGTGTCTGTGCACTCTGTATGTTAGTGGTTTTTTTTTTTTTAAGTTTTATGTGTTGTTTGGTATGATTTGGTAGGTTGTTTTTTGGTCTGGGAATGCTCAAACTTTTTTCCCGTAGAAGTGAATGGCTATTGCCTCTTCACTTTATTCCATTTTGGCTTATGGAAGTTTTCATAGGAACACTGTGCTTTCTGATAGTAGAGTTGGCTTAGAGCGGTGCAGTCAAAACAGATCCCTGTCATAAGTTGGGGACTACCTGTGTACACACACACACACACACTTATACAGTGTTATTAATAACCAGAAGTAGACTTGTGTTTCCACCACCCAGTGTTAGAAGCCCCAAGGACCTCTCCATTTTCTCCTGTCAGGGACAGCCTCTATGTTGGATCAGTCCCTTGCTTTTCTATTTTCCCACAGCTACATATAGAGACAGACATTGCTTAATTTTACTTATTTTCAGAACTTGCCATAAATAGAATCCTATAGCAACTACTCCTCTATGACTAGCTTTTCTCACAGTTTTTATGGTTTGAGACGCATCCACATTTAAATGTGTTCTTGTTCATTCATTTTCAGGGCTGAATTGTGTACCTTTGAGTGAGTGTACTGTAGTGTATCTGTTCTACTGTTGATGGATTTTCGGGTTGTTTCCAGATTTTGCCTGTTGCAAGCAGCGTTGCTATAAACATTCTAGTAAATAAATGTATACTGGGGATCTTGGGCAAGAGTTTTCTACTGTCAGAGCAGGGGCTGGCAACTATGGCCATTGCTTGTTTTTGTACATAGTTTTATTGGCGTGCAGCCATGCCCATACATTTATTGTTTTAAGATCTAGGGTTATTTTCATGCTAAAATAGCAGAGTAGTTATGAAAGAATCCATAGGGCCCACAAAGCTGAAACTATTTCTTATCTAGCCCTTTATAGAAAAAGTTTGCTGACCCCTGAGTATGGAAGTGCTAAATTCCCTTCCCTTTTTACTCTTTACCTCTCTCCATCTCTCTCTTCTTACTATTGTGCATGTGTTTTTTAGTAAATTATTTTGAAGTTAGGAAGTGCCCCAAACCCTCCCCACATGGAATGCTTTTCAGCTAAAGATTGAAAGAATAAATAACTCTGTGCCCCTTGCCTTAGTGGTAGGTGGAGATTTAACAGGATGGACAGACTCCTTGACTGCATTGTAACCTGCTCTGGTGATATTTTATTTAAAGGAAGTAAATTACTTGTCCAGAGCCTGCAGAGTTATTGATAGGAGCGAAACTCAGAAGTTCTGAGTTTCTTTTCTTGATATCACTTTCCTATAAACATTGATAGTCCCAGATGAGGATTGAAAGGGGGACATAAGCCCAGCCACCAGCACTGGGCTTGGCGTAAAAAGACTGTTCTCAGCTTCCTCGTAAGCAAAGGATAACTATAGTGAAATCTATGAGAGCTGGAATTTTATGGGACTGCCTTGTTTTTTCGGGTCTCACCAATTTTCTGCTTTTGACAGGGTGCAATCTTGGTTTTCTATTGCTTGTTTTAGGGGAAAATATGTCAGCTTTCCTTCTCTGACAAGTTCTGGCTTTTACACATTTCACTCTGTATCTTTCTCTGGTCCCGTGTCAAAAGGCATCATTGTAATGTCCCAACATTACTACCCCCTCAGTCTGCTACTTTGCCTTTTAATGGCATGTGGGAGTAGATATGAGTCTGTGATGTCGGGTAACGCCCCTGGGAATATTAAATCACATGTCACTGGCACCCCTCCAGAGTTTATGAACAGGTTGTACTTTTCTGCAAGACACAGTGTGGCTTCCATGACTAATTAGTTTTAAGAACAGATTTGTCGGAATCCCAGACCTTTGTCCCAGAGTTGAATCCTAGCTCCCTGACTTGGCTGCTGTGACATAGAACTTGGACATGTTACTTGCCTTTCTGAGGCTATTGCTGGTCTGTCACACACGGGAATCATTCAGTACACAGTAGCCATCCTCCTCACATAATGATTCTTGGGTTTCCAACATCAGTGTTTAGAGGCTTATCTCTGAGGGTACAAATTGATCATGACTAATGCATTTTTTTTTTCCCTATGTCTTTCCCTCAACTTTCTCAGCTTTGCCAAAATCATGCATGAGACCGTGAAGGACCTGGCTCCAAGATGTGACGTGTCCTTCCTGGAGTCCGAGGATGGCAGTGGGAAGGGGGCGGCTCTCATCACTGCGGTTGCCTGTCGCATCCGTGAGGCTGGACAACGATAGAGCCCCTGAAATCAGAAAGGGCTACCTTTGCTTCTCCCCTTCCCCCTTGCCTGTTGTAGTTTTAAATCATAAGGTTCCATCCCCTTGGCTTTTCCTCAGCAGAGGGGACACTGTCAGGGACCGTATTTCACCTCTGCATGTACTCACTGTAGAGTGTGGTGCCCAAGCCCTGACCCTCCCAAGATAAATACAATTTGAAGTAAGGATTTGTTCACACCCATCACACACATTCCCATTAGTTCTCTTAAAACTTCTTTAAAATTTTAACTCCCTGGCCAAATTCCATGTCCCTATATAATCCTATAGGACGAGGATACAAATGCAAGATATGGTTGCTTCACTTTGGAGCCTGAACTTGACATTTCTAGGGAGAGAGTACCACCTAGCAAGGGTGTTGATACTTTTTTTCCTACCAGAGGCTGGGGAGGACCCCACTAACTTGAGCCTGACTCTCCTACACACAGAACATGGTGGGGAGGGGGCAGCAATGGAGGGGAATCTATGAATATGCACATGGAAGTCCCTCTTCAACCTCATCTACAACCATTTGCCCTGTGTGTTCCTGGAATCAAGGGTACAGCCCTGAATCTGGGCAACTGAAACCAAAGCTAAGAGTTGACAACATTCTGCAAGTGGCTGGCCATACATCTCACTGCAGAATCATCTGAACAATGGACCTCTGGGGGAGAGGGAGTGTTCTGTTTTTAAATTTTTTTCCTGTAAAAGTGGAAAACACTGTATTTTCATTTTAATTTATGTTTGACATTTTTTTAGTACATGAAATAGATCTGCACCTTCATCTTGACACTGTATGTAACGGTCACTTGTATGCATTGTATTTATATGTCAATTTGCTATGTATATAGATGTGTAGTGTCTTGTCAGGTTCGGCCTAATCAGTAAATCAGTGTGGTTAAAGGATGGATGGTGAAGATGCTGACTGGTTACTAGAAATACCTCATTTGCCTGCAGGGAAGAGAAGGGGAACTTCTGCAGGGTGAGTGAAGAACAAAGCAGCTGCTTCCTGGCCCTTCCTTCTCTTGTGGACTCGAAGGTGGAAGGCAGGGACTGAGTGATGGGGGCTGGGACATCACCGAAGAGCCACCACACCTTGCTGCTCATCTCGAGCCTTTCCTGCCAATATTGCATGTGATGTTAACCAAAGGAAGAGAGAATCATTTCAAATGGACTTATTTCTTAGACATCTTTATTCTTAGGGCAATCAGTAGTAATTTTAAGCTCTTTGACAAGATAAAGAAGACACCAACACTTTATTTTTAATTGTGTCTAATTATATACAATATTCAACAACCATCAAAAACCTCAGGGACAACATTTTTGGTGTATTTGTGCCCTTCTAGCAAATTTCACTTTGGGCTTGTTTTGCAAATGTTTGGGAAAAAATGTGGTCTGCATGCTTCCCTAGGCTGTGCTGGCATTGGTCTGCTGATCCATTTGTGTATATAGTATTGATTTTAGTATCCATTTTTATATATAATATTGATGTCAAACTGCTGGGAGGGATGAGAGCAGTATAGAAGGCTTCATATTGTACCTTCAAGAGCCCAGTTAATTCTGAATCTGAAAGCACACTTATGCCCTAAAATATATACACCCAGACTCACCCTGAAGCTGAATACCACACACAGAGAGTATGACCTTGTAGTTCTACTGAATAGGATGCAAGGGACAAAACGGGAAGGTAGAAGAAATCTCATGACTCAATAGCATCCAATCTTTGCACATTTATCAAACATGTACTGAGAAAAGGATCTGATTATACCAGTTTTGAAACAAGGTGAGGTATTATGTGTGAAAACTGTGTAGAGCACCAGACTCATCTTCCTGGAGAGTGCAGAGGAAAGAGGGGCTGGTCCTTTTCATTTGTTCCAGTTCATGTTGCCTGTCTCATGTTCAGCCCCTCTGCTGTCTCCCTTCTGCACTAGTTAGTCTGGAATGTGGATGCCTCTTACTACACAAAAGACACCTCTCGATTTGTATGTCACTAAAGTATGACCACGAAATAGAGATGCATTTTAGCTTTTAAGCTTGAATATTATGCACCAATGAAGTTATACATTTAAATAAGATAGGATGTGTGAGTGTGTGTATGGCTATTAAAGATGTGGTGTTGAAAATGCAATTTAAATGTTTATGTTCCCCAAATTAGGTGACAGACAGCCCTTTGTTGCTGCTTTGCCTGATGTAAATATGGTGAATCTCAATCTTTGACTGATGTGTTGAATAGCAGGTCATCCCAAATCCTCAAACGTCCAGTCTAGTGGAGATATCATTATGTACAATAAATAACTAGTTGAGTTAATGATGTGGTGTTAACTATTACTAATAAATTTTAACATTTTCCAAAATATGCAGATATTCCAAAATATGACTAATGAGCATTTTCAAGAGTTGTCCTTTGGACATATTGGTACTTCCTAGCCAGTCTGATGAATAATTTATGACTAGGGTTTAGGATAAACTTTATCCAAAGAATTTAGTGTTTGTCCTTAGTTCCTGAGAGAAAACCTAAAACCCTGGAATTTCCCGAGCGACTGGAATGTCTCTAATAAAGCTTCCAGACGACACCTGAGGGTTCATGCTAATGAAATGCCTCAGGATGGAGGCTGACCAGCCCAGAAAGACCCACCTTAGGAGAGAGGTGTGATTCAATCAATCATGCCTATGTAATGAAGTACCAGTATGAGGTATGGTCATGGAAGCACTATGGGCTTCCTAGTTGATGAAAATATCAATGCATGTGGAAGGCTAACCTGTCTTTTTTGGGCCACGGAAGCTCCACATTGGGAGTCATCTCCCATGATGAAATCTGATAAAATGTAATCACCTCCATGATGAGATCTGCTATGAGCAGCCAATCAGTTGAAAGGGAGTTTCTTCAGGGGCATGGCCTGCTTCCAATATATATGGACATCCTGGCAAAGCTTTCTGACTTTTTGCTCAATCGATCCTGCATCTGGCTCCTTATCATCTGAACTTGAACTAGTGGCCTGCCATATTGCCTGCCAATCTTGGGATTGTTGCCTTCACAGCTTGTGAGCCAACAGCCTGCCATCTTACCTGCTGATCTTGGATTTGTCACCCTCTGAAGCCAGCAACCTGCTGTATTACCTGCCAATCTTGGGATTGTTAGCCTCTGCAGCCACATTAGTCAAGAGAAGCCTTCAGCTTGATGTCTGACCCATGGACTTGGGATTTGCCAGTCTCTACAACTGTGTGAGCCATGTCCTTGAGATAAACCTCTCTCTATAATATAAGCCTCACTGGTTTTACTTCTCTAGAGAACCCAGCCCAATACAGGAACCCTCCCAAACCTTACCCTTTGGGTCTCCATTTGTATCCTTTTAGCTTTAATAAAACTGAAATTTTAAGTATAGTACTTTTGATGAATTCTGTGGGAGACAGCAGGTGGGAAGCTAGGGGACTTGGGGACCCCTGAGCTTATGGCTGGTCTCTTGAGGGGATAGAAGGAACCCCCAAGTTTGAAGCCAGTGGGTCAGAAATGAGGGTGTCATGGGAATCCCCAAACATATGGTTGGAGCCTGAGGTCTTGGGCAGGTTTGGGAATGTAGAGGACTGGGCTCTTAATTTGTGAGATCTGGTGGTTAGGATCAGAGGAAGAATTACCTCCTGTGCAGTTGAACTGGAACTGAATCAAATAGATCTGATTTAGAATTTAATTCTTTCAATTTAGTTGGAGTTGGAGAATTGGAATAGATTGATAACAGATTTAACTGATCCTTGTCTATGCTTGGTGGGCATGTGGCCAAGTCACAAGTCAACTGTAGATATTTCCCTTCCCCCCCTTTTTTTTTTTTTTTTTTTTTTTTTTTTTGTGAGATGCCCAGACAGACAGACTTGATGGAAGTAGAAGGCTGCTTTTTCTGAGCTGTCTTTGAGCCCCTAGATTTCAAGCCTCATTGAAGAGCTATGATTGGCTCTGCTGTCTACTACCATTGAAACAGCTTGGCTGGGATGTAACATAACTTTCAATGGCTCTCATATGTAATTGACACTCAGAATATAAAACCCTTACATCAACACCTAAAAAGCACTTGCATCCTCCTTACTTTCTAACAACCTTTCCACTATCACCCATAGACAAAACATATCTAGGAAATTTCTCAAATGTCTCTAGTGATACCAATTGACATTGACATGGCCTGTTTGGCAATAAGTAATCAAGGAAGCTGATCAAAGTTAAAGGACAGCATAACTGCTTTAAGAAGGCTAATGGAGGAAGGAAATTCTAGTGTGGAACCTCTAACATAGTGGAGAAACATCCCAATAAAAGAATGAGGAAAACACTTGAAGTGGCAACTTGCAAAAGAAGAAATAGAGATGGCCATAAAAACAAAATTTAGCCTCACTAATGTTGACAGAAAATAAATTAAAATCAGTGTCTATTTTTCTGACATTAAACTACTGAGATTATGAGGTATTCTCATATACTAATAGTGAAAACTGGTGCAACCTATAGATGGTGCAAACAGTTAATGTGTTTGGTTGGTGTTTGGTTCAACTCAATTTAGAAGTGTCTTGGACAAAACTAAACTCATTGCCATTGAGTTGGATCTGACTCATAGCGACCCCTCCTTGGGTTTCCAAGGCAGTGTCACTACAGAAGTAGATTACCCAACCTTCCTTCTGACAAAAGGCCTGTGATTTACTTTCCACAAGTCAGCCATTGAATACCCTGGGGAGCACAGTTCTCTGACACATGTGTTATCACCATGAGTTGGAATTGACTTGTCAGCAGCTGGTTACTAGTATAATGGGAAAATAGCCATTATGAATCCGAAACATATTTTGTAAATTTTCCCTATAATTTTCCAGGAAGTTAGGCTAAGGAATAAATCATAGTTACATAGCAAAGCTTTAGCTTTACGGGTATCAATCCTCTGTATTACTTGTAATAAAAAGGGAAGCAATGGGTCTGTCTACCCTGTATCAAGGTTTTGTCAGGAATACAATCCACTCTAGTTATTTCAAAAGAGATTTTAATACAGGGACTTGGGTACACAGGTAACGGAGGAGCTGAGGAACCAAATAGGCTGGAAAAACAA